AAGATCTTAATTGATCTTTACAGGGTATAAAAAGAGGGATGAAAATGGAGTACAAAGAGGAACCTTTCTCTTTCCTGAGCTAAGAGTGAGGGCTTGCTGAGAGGCCCAAAGAAAAGGGAAAGAGGTGTGAGGGTGAGGTGATCTCAGTGTATAGCAGTATAACACTGCCTACAGATCCCAGGATAAAGCACAAGTTCAGCCTGGCAGTCCTCAGCTCTTGTCGATTGTCTGCACAGCTTTGCTGCTGCACTGAAATCCCCAAGGGACACTAAAAGTACTTCCAGCTTGCAGTTTTCTGTCATTTGAGAAGATGGCTCACAAGCTCTATTTGACTCAAGGGATTACTGTAGGTACAAAACAACAATAGCACTACCACTAAGCAGATGAAAGAAGTGACCTATTTCATTACCTGCCTCTTTATGTATAAATATGAACAAGATTTGTTTTTTTCCTGCACAGGTAGTCATTTCACAATTCCAAGGTTTCACTTCAAAGTTTTCAAACCCAACCATTCATCTTAATTGTTAAAAAAATTTATCTAAAATTTGGAATTTGTACTATTGATATAATTACTGAAAAATATTGCCTGCTCAGTGACAAGTAAAAAAAAAAAAAAAAAAAAAAAAAAAAAAAAAAGTGTACCCATCCTAATCCTCATTTTTCTTTCAGCTGTGTATGTAGTATGAAAATGTTTCAGTTCCAACTGGACACAGATTAGGAGTATCCTGGGTCTTCAAGTCCCTATTTGCAGTTTCTCAAAACCTGTCAGTATCATCAATATTAACATTTTCAGTCACCACTTTCACATACAAAGTCTACAGTATGAGGGACACAGCTTCCCCATTTGTTTTGAGCAGAAACACAGGGACACCTACTTTCATTCTACTTTTAAGAAGGCACAAAATATCACTAGAGAGAGATTGCATAGTCATCATTTTTGCATTTTTCCCCCTTTATTTTTTAAAACTTGTGGTCTTCCTGTCTACAGAGCTTATCTAGAAGGACACAGAAAGAATTTCCAAATTTCCCTCTTTTTCAGTGATCTTGCTTTTTTTTAAATAAGACAACATTATCTGAGCAGGACATTATCTTTGTATGATATGCACTTTCTGGTGCCAAATTAAAATGAGCAGTGCAAAAAAGGTGTTTAGTAAACTGGAAACATTAATTTGTGTAAGAAAAAAATGCCTTCCTGAAAGTTTAAACATGATGAATGTAAAAAATGAACATGCATTTGGCCCAGGATAGTTTATGCATCGTGCTTTATGATTATATTATTTGTCTTGCTTCTTGTAAGCATTTGATATGCCTTAGAATATGAAAAAAGTCATGGTTAATATGTTAGAACTAGTGGATTTCAATTGGCTTTTTTTATTAATGCCTATGTCTAACAAATGTATGTCTAACAAATATGAAATTATTCCCTGCCCAAACGGTCTCCCTTGTCTTACACAGACCAGAAAATATATTTTAAAAATTTTATTTACAAGCTGTATGTCTATCTCATAGACCTTATACATACTAAACCCAGAGTAGAAATGATTGGGAAAGATACTTGGCACTATCATTTGCAAGGGTTTCAAGAAAATTTATTGAACAGTAAGAGAAAATAACCATAAGAAAAGACCATAAGAGCAAAAACAGGTGTTTGAAAAGCAAACTGGGTTTGGTACAATGGGGTTACAGCTGTGAGCTGACTGCATCCCACCTCAGTACGCTGCTGGTGTCACTAAACAGCACACATGGGTCAGGGTGGTAGCTCTGCCATGGGAGCTCATTTCACTGACAGAATGGACAGGAAAGGTAATAGCAATAGAAATATTTAATTATTTCTGTGAAGGTAGACGCTTCCATGCAGAGGACATGCACTTTTCTTGGTATATCAGTTGTGTTATCTCCAATCTTATTAAAAACCCAGAGATTTATAACTGCATATTTCAGAGGTGAGAGAGAGAACTAAAAATATCAAATACAAGTGCTGAAACTCTCCAGATTAAGCTCCTGAAACTTTGGACACTAAGCAGCCTGACTTCCAAAACTGCAAATTAATCATCTACTTAGTTGCCTATATTCTGGGGTGCTCAACAAATTCCAAGATGCCCAAAAGCCGTGTTGAGTATCCACCAGGTTTCACTCAGCCTGGGTGCTTGAGCAAACCCCATTGGAGTGGATGGAAAGACACACTGCTGTGTTTTGAATCAAATTTATAGACTGCAGAAGCAGCTGCCATTTGAAGCACATGTCAAAATCAGATCACCAGATGTCTTGTCACCTGTATAAGCTTTAAGAAAACATTTGTAAACAACAGGCATAATATTTGAGTGATAGCCCCTACCCCATAGTCATTAATTTTGGATGGTTTTGTCTTTGTTCTTTGTACGAGGGGCTGTTAAAGATCCTGAAACAAGAACTATGTCATATGGAGTGTTTTATCAAAATTACATCAAAATTTTTCCACATTGGTGGCCTAGAAAAGCATACTATATTCTCTTAGAAACAGATGACCTCCAAAGAGAACAGAACTTCCAAATTCTTAATTCATTGACTACTTCAGCTAGCAACACATGTGAGAGTGGAAGTCCTGCTGATAATAATTTACCTTTTTCAGTCCTGAAAACAATGGAAAACAGGTCTCAGACATGTTTCCATCATCCCCCCTATAGGACAAGAGAAATCCTTCTTGACCCCTCTGCTCTGGCAGCATAATGCCATGCAGTTCCTCCTTTGTATGATTATTAAAAATACCATATAAATCTCTTTGTTCCCAAGCCCCCACTATTGAGGAATCTTTTCAGTATTGTCTCTACACTGCAGGATATTTGCAGTTGTTTCAAATTCCAAGTTTAGAGCCTGGATGTCCCCAGTAATCAAGCTATACAAAATGCAGTAGAATTTCAACAGTTTGGGTCTTAGTTTGGGGATGCTCAGTGGAAGAAGCTCGAGTCTGGTCTCCATAAACCAGGACAGCTTGGTTGGGAGAGCTCTCAGAGGAACCATCTTGCCATAAGAACAAGAACCATAAGAACATCCTCATCCCTCCTGGAAGTATATTTGCTGGGCTGAGGCATCCCTGATTGTAGAAGACCTGCAGGACAGGCTTTGTTCATGCCTTCTCGGATCAGATGGTAAGATCAGAAATTCACCTAAAACAGTACAACCACTAATGGGCATTCAGTCCAGGGGCCAGACTACAGCTCATCTGAACTAAAGCTGCCCTGAAATGTGCATCAGATAAGGAATTTTAATAGAATAAACCCCTGTGCTTATGCCTTAAGACAGATTTTGGCAAGCCATGGAGAGCAGTGCTCTCCCTTAAATACAGGCATATCTGACTTTCACATGGCTTATGACAAAGCTAAATGTAATTCTGCATACCATCAATAAGTAAAATATATGGCTCTATCGTAAATCCTAATTCAGTGCTTCAGGTAACTTTATGGTGTGGGATACAACTCTAATTAAAAAGATACTATTTGGTAGACAGTTATAGGTAAAATTTTTTAATATTTGTTTTTGTTTTTTTTTGTTAAAAAGCACTCTACCCAAGCCACACCAATTTTAATTGAACAAAACTCTTTCCAAACAGCAATCCTAAAGTACACTCAAGTTGAGCTCGGGGGTCACATTTTTCAGCAGCTAATTACTGAACTAAGAGGAAAAGAATAAAATATGAAACGCCTTAATGAAAATTGAAAATATTTATTATATTCTATTACAAAGAACTGATAAAATAATTGTTTCATAAATTTGTACACTTATGGTTGGAGAAAGCAGATGTGAGATGAAGGACTCCCATGGGCTCCTTCTCCAAAAGGGACGAATTTTCATAGAAAAATGCATTGTTCATAAATTTATTCCAAACGCTACTCAAAACTATCACATTTGTGAATGTGTGTCACAAACTATATGAATATTCCAGCATTTTTCAAATATCGTGGCATATTTCAGCTACAAAAAACATCACCAAGTCTGCCATTTCTCAGAAACAAGTCTGCATGACGCTGTAGCCGACTCTAAAGCATCCAATATGTATCCCAAGGGCACCGCACGCAGGACTGTGAAGCGCACAGAGGAGATGGGTTGAAGCTGAAAAGAATAAATGTTATTTCTGCTGCGCTACGGTGCACCGGCAAAGCCATAAACTATTCACAGAGCTGCGATCAGCCACTGTGCAATGATGCACAAGAGAGATCAAATTACATTACAGCATCCATTCCGAGAGTCTTAAAAAGGAAGAAGAACTTCTAAGCGCAAGACCAATTACATTGGTTAAAACATTGGAACTAGGGATCAGTGCCCGGGGCACCGCGGGTACCGCTGCGGGGCAGCCCCGCCGCGGGGCGGGCGCGTCCTCCAGCCTCCGCCGCTCGGCAAAACGCTACCTGCACCAAAACGTGGCATTTCTCTCGAACTTGCCATGCCCCTTTCACTTTATGGCTAACATAACATCGAGGGGAATTTTCACGCCGAAGCGCCCTCAACAATTATTCACTGTCCCGTGACGAGAAGCCGGCGCTCCAGCGGGGCGGCGCGCCCGGCGGCGGCAGCCCCTTCCCCTCGGCAGTTCGGGGGTCTCGGTCCCGCCGTGCCCCGCCGTGCCCCGCCGTGCCCCGCCGTGCCGCCCTCAGCGATGCCGCGGTGCCTGTTGCGGCGCCGCGCCCTCAGCAGCCCGCGGCGGGCCGGGCCCGGGCAGCCGGGGAGGGCAGAGGGGCGCCCCGGGGCCGCGGCGCCCCGCTCCGCGCATGCGTCCCGCTGCCGCGAATTGGCTCTCGTCGCCGGTCCGCGCCAAGTTCCAGTCCGCGGCTCGTCCCCCGTGAAGCGGCGGCCGGGATGGGGGCGGCTGCGGGGCGGGCCGGCCCGGGCGCGCTGCCGCTGCCGCTGGCGCTGGCCGTGGCGTGCACGGCGCGCAGGTGAGCGCCGCCGGGCTGCGGACGGAGGGAGGGAGGCGGGCGCGGGGCCGCCCGGCCGCATCCCTAACCCGCTTGTGCTTCTTCCCGCAGCGCCGACGGGCCCGGCAACATGTCCTACGTGAAGGAGACCGTGGACAGGCTGCTCCAAGGCTACGACATCCGCCTCCGCCCTGACTTCGGAGGTGAGGCGCCCGCGGCCCCCCGACCCGCTCCCCGGTGCCCCCAGGTGCGCTAACGCCGCCTCCCGCTCCCCCCGCAGGTCCGCCCGTGGATGTGGGCATGCGGATAGAGATCGCCAGCATCGACGTGGTCTCGGAAGTCAACATGGTGAGTGACCGTCGGGCCGGACCCCGCTCCGCCCCGCCCGTGCGGGGGCTGCCGCGGCCCCGGGGCCCGCGATGCGGCCGGCCGGGAGCCCGGCTGCGCGGGGCTGCGCGTACCGAGCCACAGCGACTGCCACAGAATAACCGGGCACGTCGCAGTTCCTGGGAAAAGTAATTTGCGTTTTTGAGATGATGTTGGCGTGCCTGTGGTGGCACCTCAGAAGAGCTCCCTGCTCTGGTCAGAATACCTGCTGCAGGTTTGAGGTCTTGCTCTGGTTTGCCCTTTGCGTAGTCAGCAGCTGCCGTCGGAAATGCTGGAGTTGCTTGAACTGTAGCAGCAGATGGCCAGATGTGCGTGTTTTCAAGTTAAATTATTTAAAGAGTTAGGCAGTTCACTTTTCATGCTAGTAACCTTGAGTAAAAGGTGCAGAGAGAAAATAAGGACTTCTAGAAAACTCTTTTTCTTGTAAAAAGGTAAAAAATTACGACACTGCAGAATAGGTACATAAGGATGCTTCCAGCTATCAAAACCAGAAGTCTCATAGCTACAGGTGTGAAACATATTGCATTTGATTTCAGTTCTCCTGCAGGAAGGAATGCTAATAGACAAGGAGGTTTAAAGATCAAAAGTGTGACTTTAGTGCCTGCCTGATTTGACAGCCTTTTCCCAGAAGAAAACAATGAATCAGTTGCAAGTTTGAACGTTGTACAAAATCATGTTGAATTAGCCAGCATCATGGGCATTTTGCTCTCTCTTTTCTTATGTTTGATCTCGCTTGAAAATCTCAGTTGCTTTCTGTACATAAGGGAACAGCAACTTAGTTAAAAGAAGCTTGGAAACCTTACATTTCCATCCTGATCAGCTGTCTATTTCACTGGTTGATACTTGCCCATTTTAAGTAATTTACCCAATGGTGGGGACTTTTTCAATAGTATAATTAGTTAACAGCTGTCATTAAAACAATATCTCTTCATAGATTTTTTTGTTTTGTTTTCCTACTTAGTTTTTTTTCTGTTGTTCTTTATAAGTATCACAGGTTCCATTTGTGTGCAACTGTTTTGTTTGCTTATGAATGGGTGTGGTAGAGTGGGGAAGAAAGAGAATTTGGCAGGTTGTGTGTAGCATACCAAGTACTGCAGACTGCTAGTGCCACACAAAGACAACATTTTGCAATTTTCAGCTCCTGGTCTTCCTTTTGCTGTATTGTACTTTAAGGGAGGAATGTGGTGCAGACCACACGGATAAGGCAGAGGAAACAGAGCTTAGACCTTATCAAAATAGTCAAAGGACATTTCTACTCCAACTCCAAGCTAATTCTACAGCACTGAAGTGGGATTGCTGCTTTCACACCTGGAAAAAGTCAAAGCAAAGGAAAAAAACACCTGTTCTGAAAAATCCAGAATTTATCTTGTAAAGTCTGAACACCTGAAATACTGTTAATCTGTAGGGGAGTGGATGTGACAGTTTCCAATGGCAATTCACAGGGCACTAATTGCGTTGCACCAGCTCACAACATTTCTTAGTTGCATGCTGTACCTATCAAAGCTTTCTTCTCTGTTCTAACACTTGCACAGTCTCTGGGAAAGAAGTTATATGCTAAATGGATTCTTTTAATAATCTCTGTGTGTAAGGGGCAGCTTGAATAAAACTGGTCAAAAAGTGAAAAAATGTTTTCATTTCATAAAATACCACATCTCACAGTGGAAGGAAGTAACTGGTCCCAGCTGTAGCTGTTGCCATTCCTGAAGGCAAAATATGGAGTCACCATTCTGAATCAGTTTAAAAGGACTTTGATATCACAAGTGCTACCTGTACGTACCTGTATCTAGTGTTCTGTGTTGCAAGGTCTTTATTGTGTTGTTAGAGATTGTCTGCCTAGTTTTGGACAGTGATCAGTAGTTTCATCCATCATTGCAAAAACAAGGCAATTGATATCTTGGTATAAGAAGAAAAGGTTTTTTACCTAGGAAAATAATGCTTTGTTCTAGTACTTTTTTTATTTCTGAGAAATCACAGCCTGATTATCACAGCATCTGAGATGCTTAATGTTGCAGTCACATAAGTCATTCATCTTCTTTTCCTTTAAACTGTGTCTTACAGATTTTATAAAAAATTATTTAGTAAGAGCTACTGTTCTGTGGCTTCAGAGCCAGAAATGCTTTTCAAATCTATATTTATAGTGTCCTCTGGCAATAGGGCAATTTTGTTGCTGAAGGAAACCAGTAATAGGAGCCAAGAGAGCAATACCCTCATCATGTGAGCTCCTCCTGACAAGAGAGTCTGGTTGGATCCACCAGAGCTCAGTCAGTCTCACCCTAGCAGTGTTGGAGGGAGTTGTCTTATCCCTTGGCTTTCCTCAGGAACATGAAACATTGTATCCAGAGTGACAGAGACACATAATCCCAGTCATGGCGCCCACAGAGTTAAATTTTGTATTCCAGTCTCAATGCATAAATAAGAATAAAGATTATAGAGGGAGAGAGAGAGGCTATGAAGGAGATGCTCTCCTTTGGTGCATTGGGTGAGACATGGTCATGGCTATAGACTGTCTGCCATGTCAACAGGCTGATTGTATGTCCAAGTACATCCATCCTTGGGTAAAAAGTTGAGATATAGGCAACGAAATTATTTTGAATTCTGTGAGCACCAGTAGTAGTAACTGTCTGTTCAAGCAGCTTGGCTGGTTGAAGTGGCTTGTTCTAATCTACGAGACTATTGTGAAATACTTTATTTAATTAATGGGCCAAGACTTGCATACTCTTGAAGTCAACTGTTCTGGTTTTTCTCTCTTACTACTCAGTCCCTATCTTCTCAGCTCATTAAATAGCATAGTTTTATACCTGCTTGGTAGTTCAATAATACTGTGGTGAGCTGCCATATCAGCTTTTACAGAATGATTAATTTAAATGCTTATTCTTTTGATTCTTCCCATTTGACATCAGATACATTGTCTTACGTTGATTTTTGCAGGTAATAAGCTGAAGAGCTTGTCATAAAACAAACAAGCAGGAGAAGTAGAATGTAAACATCCTAGTGACCATAGCCTGGTTCTAACTATGCTTTCTCCCTAATGTAGCATGAGATAAGTTTAAGTTTACTTTTCCAGCTGATTTTCACATCCTTGCTACAGTAAGTACAAGCATTACCTTCCAAAGGCACAAGGTGACCTTTTTCCTTGTCTCAGTTAATGACTCTTCAGCCAATTTTCATTCATGACAGAGCTCCATAAGTATAATAGACAGTTACATGAATATCGAGTTTATTAAGAACCATGCTATGACTAGATCTATTAAGCTGCTGTGATGTCTGGTTTACTCTGATGCCGTTACATGGTTGGCATAAGGTGCTGCTTGTACATCAAGAACAAACATGGGTAGAATGATTGGCAGTAATTAATGTCATGCTTCAGGGCAAGCAGCAAACTAATAATGTATTTATCTAACAAGAAATAGTCGAGAGAAGTAACTGGATTTGAAAAAATTCACATGCAGTACATGTTGTAGTTTTCTCTAAAATGTGTTCCTTACTGAAGTAAAGATGGTCAAGCCTTTAAAATGGGCAAAAGATGTCATGTACATGTCCTAAAGTTTAAAACAATGCATATGATAAAGAACCTTTTATACAGTAGGTAAAAAAGATACCAAAGAGGAAAGGAAAAAAAAAATTAAAAAGCCCTTTATTTTATATTGAGAACACTGTTCCTGACCCACCATACTGATTTTACACTGATGATGATGTAGTTTCTGTGATCACAGACTGGAGGTTTCATGTCCTAGCAAAGAGATAAATGAAATAATGGAAAGAATGTATAATTCTTTAGCTTCTCTAAACTTGTATTCAAGGCTCTTATCTTTATCTGATCTGCAAAAAAAGCCACAAATCTTGCAGAGATTAGTTTATTTAACATCCCAACCTGTTGGGTAACATCTTTTTGCCCCAGAAAGAATTTATGTTAGCTTAAACAACTCACTTTTTGTATCCTTTTTGTAAAGTTGATAATTAAATAAGCCAACTGCATAAACATATATGTATTTATTATGCATGTATGTATATATACATATATATACACATATATATATACATGTGTATATATATGTATATATATATATTTTTTTTTTTTTTAATTTTTTTTTTTAAATTTTTTTTTTTTTTTGCCACAGAAGCATCCAGGGCCTAGAAGAGCAAAGGCCTTCCCCTTACTTTCGGGCTGATGTTAGCCCAGGTGGCTGGGGCATCCTACAGTGGTAGATGTTTAGCCAAGAGAATCTGAATCTGTGGGCATAAACACTTGAGCTGGGTAATGCTTAGAACCGAGGCACTGAAAGTTTGACCATTTACCCTGGCAGACCACTGCTTGTGCATTAGACCCCAGTTCCAGAAATGGTAGAAGGACTTCTGTGCTGTATGCAGGTTATCTTAAGATACTTTTTGCAGATTGAGAAAGATTTAAGATGCGTTTACTAGAGCAGCCAGAATTTCACACCTCTTATTTCCCCTTCCTGTCTTAATTAAGTATCTGAGAATTTAGCATGGTGACTGTTGTAAATCTCAACATAGGAAATAAATCCTAGGAAACCAAATTTGCATTATGAACCTTATCTCATGCCTCTTTGCATCACAGAAGCCAAATCTCATTTTTTGTAATCATAAGCATGGTTTATATAAAATGTCAGAAATTCCTTTAGCCTCAGCCAGTGTGGAAACACAAATGATGATAAATAGTCTTTGGTCTAAATATATTTAGCAGGAGATGTCCATAATAAACTAATTAGATTAAACTAATTTTTTTCTGATAATTCATAAAACTTAATAATTATTAATGAAAATTTACTTAGCGGTAGTACAGAAGAAGAAAGGAGAAATACTTTTTTGTAATAGAGCAACTGTCTTAAAGAGCATGAAGGACATGCAGAGGCACTTTAATATTAATAAGAATGTTCAGTAACTGATTATTTTTTCCAGCAAATATGGAAAAACTAATCAAGTAATAATACATAAAGGCC